TACCTCATTGTGCTATACTTTAATGGGAGTGCTTTGCATGCGGTTGTACTTTTAAGGGGCATACGTGTCAAAACAAGCTCTGAGGGCGTGCTAGTATGTGGTGCTGTAGTTTTCTTGGTTACATTCCATTAATGCAATTTCAGCTGTGAGCTCGTAGGCAAACTGTTCAATGGACTGGAATTGTTTTGCATGTCTCTCCTGTTTTTGCACTCTCGGCTTTGCGAACGTCGTCCGCTCGTCTCGTCGCTCTGAACCGAGCCGAATGTGTTTTCAGTAGCGAGGAGTGAGTTGTGATTATAGCTGCTTGTCTTGTGCCCATCTGGCTTTAACTTTCGATTACAGCCGGCCATTGTATGCTGTATTTTCAATCGGGATTTAAAGTGATGCTTATTTTTCCCCATGAGTAGCAGATTTCCTTTACTTTTCTTTACGTATCGGTACTTCATAAGAGGGGCTTTAAATGTCTGAATGCAGGTCGTGTTTTGGTACATTCTAGCGTAGCTGCTGTACGTTCATTATATTTCACGATTTTTGCGCGTCAGGTTATTTAGCTTCGATCCCCCAAATATCAATCTGCCAATACGGCATTGTGTTTTACAGTAGAAACACACCGATACTGCACATGACTCTTATTTCCGGTGAAATAAGCGGTTTTCCTGCCATACGAAACACTCTGTACCTGGAATATTTTCTACACACTTAAAAATTGTTGCACCGAAATAGACAAAAAACAGAACAATGGCTTTATATTTTATGATTTGTGTTTCTAGCCTGTGTAGCCTTAAAGTCTCTTGATTTGATCCATCTCTCCAGCAGATTTTGGACATAAGCAATAGTAGTATCATGTTTCGCTAACAGACTGAACCGTAGATCCTAAAGCACAAGCTCTTGTAATGCATGTCTTTCTCAGGTTTTAATATGCGTATGAGAATGGATACATATGTTAAAATATTTGACCGTAAATATTTCTGATGTTTTTTCTGCTGCTGACATAAAAAGAAAAAAAAACCTGCCAGTGAAAGGGAAGTGGCTCTTTGTATAAGACACTGCTGTGTGCTGTATGTTTTCTGACATGAATATTTTATAGCTCAAGTAGAAAAATATGTATTGACAATATTTAAGCAATAGCTTGGTGATTATAAAGTATGATAACTAGATAAGTGTATATTGCGTAAAAAAAATCTTGGATTCACTTTGGGTGGATTTTGTACTGTATTTATTACTACTAATGATGATGCAAAAAGTTGCATAGCTTAACCCAAATTTTCTTTCTTTTTTAATTTCTTGTCTTGTATATGACCCTTTTTGTATGTGTTTTTTTCAAATAAAATGTCGAAAATGCCTCAACATATTTTTCAGTGTTGTTTCATGCACAGCTGACGTCATCTACATGGTGAATAAAATAGCTGTTAAATCAGGAACTTATTTGCGTAAGGACCTGTCCCAATACTTACGGTCTTGAGCACTTGAGAACACATACCCTGCGTCTAGATGTTCATACTATCCATCCTAAATAGTATGTGAGATTAAAATAAGTGTGTCCCAAAGCATAGTATGTTGAAAAGAGTGTGCCAAAAGTCTACTATTTCAGGTCGATTTTTGAAGTGTGGATCCGTGCACACTCTAAAGGCTAAAATTGCCCACAATCCATTGCGCTTCGGCGAAGGATTAGGTCCAGAACTACAAACACGAATAAAACGCGTTAGAAAAACTACAAACGATCGACGGTTAGGTAGAGAGGCTTAAAGCCCCGTTCACACCGCCAGCGACTTTTTCGCTGTTTGTCGCTTGTAGCTGGCCATTGATGTCGCTAGTGGGCGTTCCCACTACTGGTTGCCTAGTTACCCCGTAACACTCCACTACAGCAGATGAATCACGTGCTCTCCACTGACTTCACTCCCATTGGTTGTCGCTCGCGAAATTCGCTGCTTGACTTGCCTCGCTTGACACGCCCACATTCCGTCGCCAATGGTCACTGTCGCTCGTGTCGCCAGAAGTCGCCAGCGACGCGACAAAGTTCAGAATCCATCAACTTTATGCAAATGAAGAGCGACTTTCGGGAGCGACAGCCAATAGGAAAGAAGACGGTAGAGCTAATGTGATCGTTCTCCTCTCGGCGCCGTAGATAAACATACGCAATGGAAGAAAGTAGGCTCTGTTTCTCATTCATTTTTGTTTGTATGTACGGATTTAATATAGATTTAGATTATATTTAGTCTTTTGCCTCCAAAATGTTCGGCAAGAAACCTGATTCGCTGTCAAGGCAACCAGTATTGAGAACGCCCACTAGCAACCACAAAAAGTCGGTGCTAGTGTGAACGGGGCTTTATGCTGCGTTCAAGTCCTCTTGGGACGTTCGTATTTACGAGTTGACAAGTCGTAATTACGACGTCAGGTGCGTTCAAGTCAGTTTAGTCGGCTCAAGATGGCGGTGTACCTTCTTTTAATAAATTAGTTAACTAGTAATTAGTTAAATTAGTTAGCTTATAGAAAATGAAGAGCAAAGAATTCGCATCAGGTGTGTTTTGCGTTTTTAATATTTTTAAAACATGCAACATGGCAAATCAAAAGATTTTTCACCTATAGGTGCAAAAATGATAGCATTTTTTTTTACTTGGATTTCATTAACTAGCTGCGTAACAAGAACATGACCAATTTAAGTTTATAGGACAACTAAACTATCAATTTAAACAAAAATGTACCGTCAACTACAGACGTTGCATCCATCGATTCCACCATGTTTCTCATTGACACGCCCCCAACTCGGGGCTTAAAGAAAATTTTGAGTTTCCCACTCGTAATAACGACTTTGTGGTGGCGTTCATGTGCGTTCAACTCGTAAATACGATCTATACGACATGACTTGAACACACCATTAGAAAAAGGGGTTTGAGTTACTAATAATCAACATTTAACCTGGTAAAAAATATTGATTTATTGTTATCCGTGTTATATTTCATCTGCAAATGCAATGTGAACTTTTATAAACATTCATTTGGTCGTGAACTTTTAAATGCATCATTATGCATAAAATATTAGCAGAGTTCTCGGCATGAAAGACCCGCGACTGGCAGATCAACGAGCTACTTCTTTTCTCTCCAATACGGTAGGAAGTTAAATTAAATTAAATGAGGAGGACTGATGATTGACAGGCCAGTTTACATACTACACACTCAAAAGTGTGTACTTTTTCTTCACCAAAACAGTTCATACTTTAAGGGCATTTTATAAGTAGGCACATTGGGATGCAGCAATGCACACAACAGGAAGCGTGCAAGAGGTCAGGCCTCAGGTCAAAGGTGAGTGTCCTTAGTGCACACTAAAGCCACAACATCTCTAAGGGTGCATCTCAAATGGAAGGCTGCATCCTACAGAGACTGTGTCCTTCCTAGTTCAGTTCTTCAGAGGCTTGTAGGCTAGAGTCCTCCTCTGCATTAAACACTAGAATGAGACGATCTACTAAATACATGTGGCTGTGTCACGTATGCATTAAATTAAATGAGGAGGACTGATGATTGACAGGCCAGTTTACATACTACACACTCAAAAGTGTGTACTTTTTCTTCACCAAAACAGTTCATACTTTAAGGGCATTTTATAAGTAGGCACATTGAGACGCAGCAATGCACACAACAGGAAGCGTGCAAGAGGTCAGGCCTCAGGTCAAAGGTGAGTGTCCTTAGTGCACACTAAAGCCACAACATCTCTAAGGGTGCATCTCAAATGGAAGGCTGCATCCTACAGAGACTGTGTCCTTCCTAGTTCAGTTCTTCAGAGGCTTGTAGGCTAGAGTCCTCCTCTGCATTAAACACTAGAATGAGACGATCTACTAAATACATGTGGCTGTGTCACGTATGTTTCCGCTCTATGAAAATACTAATAAAACTTAATTTTGGAAAAATACTTTGTATTACAAATCTTTATATTATTTGACTTTCTATTAATACAATATCTACAGTCTCCCAGTGGCTTACATTATTGGCAGTTTAGCGTTAAGTGAATAATTTACGCCAAAACAAAAGATAACATCTATGCTTTCATGTCCAAAAACATTACTTTTGCCTCACATTTTATAATAAATTCAGACAGTCTCAGTACTGACTTGTTGATCGTCAGGTATTTGTTTTTCATGAACTGGAATGTGTACAAAGGATTTCCATGTATGTTAACTGAATTAATGTAGATATTTACATAATATGTAATATAATAAATACTAAGAGACCTCTTAGAGAGGCTTAAAAATAACTAGTGTCGAGTATTGAGGTTCAGAGTAAACAAAATAACCATATTTCAAATTAAACTTGTTGACCATATTTTAAAGTGAGAAGTACTGAAAATCGAAATGTGTAAACAAAGCTCTGTACAAAAGAAATACTTGAATTTTTACAGCACTATAAGTGTATAAATAGGGTGTGGGGGGACTTAGGGAAATAAAAAAGTAAAGAACGAAAGTCACGTACATAATAAATTTGACTTCAAACAACGAATTTTGACCCCAGAAGTCGAATACTATCTCAAAAAAAGTTGTCAAATATTAAATGTTTAGCTTGGAAAATTAATAACCATCTTTTTCTGAGTGGAAGACAGCAAAAATAAACAGCCACTGAGAAAGGAAGATGCCAGTCTCTCAGAAACAGTAGGTCGCTGTTTGAAACCATCTCACAGGAGCTTTAAAAGCTCAAGCGCAGCTGATCATGATCATGTGATTAATCAATCAACCAATCAGACACTCACAAAAACACATTCACAAGACTCTGGCTCTTGATGCCCAGTTCATCTCAGGCTCTGCTCAGACTTAGAGCAAAAATATCTTTTAGGAAAAAAAAGAAGAAATCAAAACATGAGGTTTCTATGGAAGCCCGTTTCCGCCACTGAATAAAAAAAAAAAAAAGGAAATTGCAAGTTTTTATCTCACAATTCTGATGTGATTAATCAATCAACCAATCAGACACTCACAAAAACACATTCACAAGACTCTGGCTCTTGATGCCCAGTTCATCTCAGGCTCTGCTCAGACTTAGAGCAAAAATATCTTTTAGGAAAAAAAAGAAGAAATCAAAACATGAGGTTTCTATGGAAGCCCGTTTCCGCCACTGAATAAAAAATAAAAGAGTTAATTGCGAGTTATCTCGCACTTCTGACTTTTTTTCTCAGAACTGTGAGATATAAACTCGCAATTCTGAGAACACATCAGTCTTCTTTCCCCCTCTCAAAATTGGACTTTAACTCGCAATTGCGAGTTAAAGTCCAATTTTGAGAGGGGGAAAGAAGACTGATGTGTTCTCAGAATTGCGAGTTTATATCTCACAGTTCTGAGAAAAAAAGTCAGAATTGCGAAATATAAACTCGCAATTGCGAGTTAAAGTCCAATTTTGAGAGGGGGAAAGAAGACTGATGTGTTCTCAGAATTGCGAGTTTATATCTCACAGTTCTGAGAAAAAAAGTCAGAAGTGCGAGATAACTCGCAATTAACTCTTTTATTTTTTATTCAGTGGCGGAAACGGCCTTCCATAGTTTTCACACTACCTAGATGTTCATATTTGGATTTATGAAAGATGCAAACTATGATGAAACTAGTGATGCAAAGTCCGAATCATTTCCGCGAACCGGTTCTTTTCGGACAGATCGGCTCATTGAACCGGTTCAAAAAGCCGATTAATCGGTTCCTGACGTCATCAAGCAATAACGTCTCTACGCATTTCTTTTCTAACAACTTATTAATGTCGTCTCTGAACTGTTTGCAATAAAAAAATAAATAAAAATTATTTTCTAACAACTCAGTACCATGTTGTATCAATGAAAAATTTAATTAAGTCATTTGTGTCAACACGTATTGAAACATTCAAAAAAATAGTTATTTGTGTGAAAGCATATTGTTGATTATTGCCATATAATTCACTTAAGTTAATGGTGTTTGTGGTCAGTTTCATTCAAGGATCCTCAGATACGACTGACTGAGCAATATTGACTAGCCTACAACTTGGATAAGATTCCTAAAAGTTTCACACCTACAGCACACATTACAGACACTGATGCACAAACACGGATATGTTCTACATGTCTACAGTATAAAGAATTAATAAACTAGTCTTATAAACTCCTTGATTTCGCTTAAGCAACTTTAAATATAATAAGCATGCACAATAAACTATTGTAAAATGTATTTACATCACTCGACAGGAAGCTTTTTGCAGGTATTAATAAAATGTAAATTAATAACAGTTATAATAAACAAGCATATTTCCAGTACGTGCCTCAAGCTTGCACAATATCATCAACTCACTCATCAGAATTTTCGGTAATCCTCTGCAAACTTCGCCACGGCTCATTCGGTTCTTGTAGAGTCCTCGGTAATCCTCGGCAAACTTCGCCACGGCTCATTCGGTTCTTGTAGAGTCCTGCCAGTGGAATCCGAGCGTCGCATGTGAAGTAGAATCTGCGAGAGAGAGAATGATGCTCGGAGCTGCACACGACAGGATTTCAGAAAGGGATACATGATATTCGATTTTTGCCGATATTTTTCAAACTATTCTGCCAATACCGATTTCCCTTTGTTTTGAAACAACGCCAAATCTCTCCTGTGTGGAAATTATATTATAAAACGTATCATTCTGGTGCTTGATTCTGATTGGCTGAGCCGCGTTCGAAGCTGTTGTAAATGACGCTACAAAGTAACACACCTTTGTTTACGTTTGTGTGTTGCTCGGCAACCACTTTGTAGCAACCACAACTGTTTCTTCTTTTATTTATGTATTTAAGTTTGCATAATCCATTTTGTAGCTCAAGTAGAAAAATATGTATTGACAATATTTAAGCAATAGCTTGGTGATTATAAAGTATGATAACTAGATAAGTGTATATTGCGTAAAAAAAAAAGAAAATCTTAGATTCACTTTTGGTGGATTTTGTACTGTATGTATTACTAATGATGTTTCAAAAAGTTGCTATTTAATATTCATATATACATATTAATAAATAAATCTGTATATATCAAATTATTTATTTTACAAGTGTGATTTTATGTGATTTTTATTCATGCAAGCTATAGTTCTGACCTTTAGATCAAAACAGACTCATGATATGATGACATCGATATTGCTTCTATTTATTCAGAAACACAAGCATCTTAATGATATTTGTGTATTTTACTTTCATTTTATTACAAGTAGGCCAACAGCGCCCTATCACACGCTGAGCACATGTGAGTTATCCATATTATCGGCAAGGCATATCGGCATAATTTTTAACATTTTGAACCTTTATCGGCCGATTCCGATAACGTTCTGATAATATCGTGCATCACTAATTTCAGATGTAAACTCACTTGTTTCTCAGCTCTTTCTCCGTGATCACCACCTCCTGCACGTGCCAGAAAGACTCGTTCTTCACCTTCTTCTCCTTCGTTATATGGCCCAAACAAATACTCACGATCTCGCCCACATTTTTAGAGGAAAACTCGAATGAATCCGTGGCAGCACTGAAACAGAATCAGATTATCATGCGTTATTAGTCATCTGTTCAGTCTCTATTGTTTAATGGTGATTTATTTTTGACGTTTGTCACTCCAAAAATGTGTTTTCTTTAATTATTGGACATTTGGACAGGTCTAAATGATAATCTGAATTATTTAAGTATCATTGATATACAATTATAGTGTTTAATAATATTCTGAATGTTTTATTTTTATAATTTTCATTTATTTTTTAATTTTAGTTAACATTGTAATATTCTTTTTTTTGCATTTTGTCTTTTTTATTAGATATTTTTATTAGTAGTAGTTATTTTAAAATGATTTTTTTTTTAGCTATTTGCAGTATTTCAGTTTTAGGTATTTTAGTACATTAAGTTAAACTAAACGAAAATGAAAAACAAAAGTTTTAAGTTTTTAAATATTTGAATATTTTCCAATTTTTTCTTTTTCAATTTAGTCAACGTTTTAGTATTTTTTGCTTTTTTAAATTTTTTTTAATTTTTATATTTTATGTTTTAAAAATATGTAAACTCTTCAAATTTAGTTAACGTTTTAGTATTATTTATTATTTTTATTATTAGTAGTTATTTAAAAAAAATTTTTTTTATTTTTATTAATACGTCTATATAGTTTTTAGCTATTTACTGTATATTTCAGTTTTAGTTATTTTAGTACATCAAGTTAAACTAAACTAAAAAGAAAAACTAAAACAAAAGTTTAAAAGCCAGTTTTACTAACAGCTAGCACCAGCGCAAACCGTCTTTTGGCGTTAAAATGGTACTGTCAGGTTTTACTAAAGAAGCGCAGTGAATATTTAGCGCTGAAAAGGTGTGGAAACGCAGTTATTATTCAGGGCTGAAAGTTCTCCGGCACCGTGCCGGATCTCTGGCGTTTGGCTGTGGAAAAAAATAATCCTACGTTTAAAAAAAAATTGTTGATATCACTTTCGAGTCCATGAGTTCGCCTACCAATGTATGAGAGGAGCACAGCTTTCACTCTCAACCAAACTAACATTACTAGCCAATCAGAATGTTTGGCTCTTATAAACACAAGACACGTATAATAGTATCCAACTGCAGAGTCGCAGCTGATGAATGGAGAAGCGCAACGAAAAGCTGCGAGGCGCAATGGTCAAAGATGTCCATCTAGCGCATATTTACATAGAAAAACTAATTAAAAAGCAGCGGAGCTTTGTAAACAGCTCAGAGTAATCATGTCATCTCCATAAAACGATAGGATCGCCAGAACAAATTTACCGTGATTTTTGAAAAGGTCCTGTTCTCACATGATGTATTAATGGTAACTTACCGGTGATTTACCAGTAAAGACCGTATGTGTGAAAGGGGCTAAACTCTTCCTCTGCATATGCCGTGAGTTTGAGTTGCTTAACGTTCATCTGGAGAAACAGTGTGCATTGAGGAGCCAAGTGTGACTTTTTTTTTTACATATCCGAATCATGTCCATGATTTTTTTTAGCTAATAGCTAATGCAACAAAAGTCACCAAGTGTCATCTCATTCTGATAAAGCTACGATTTTTAAAATTTCGAAATATGAAAGTTTTCGGTCAAAAATGAAATTTGCTTCAGGAAAAAAAAAGACGACTTGGAACCCTCAACTAGGAGTCACACAATACCAGCTCTAGCAAAACTTCATTTTTTGTCCTCCGGTTCTTTTCAATGTACTGTGGCTTCTTTATTTCTATATTTGCGACTATGCGAATTTGCACTGTGCTTGGTATATTGCGTTGGTCGATATGTAAATGAGATGTTGCGTCTGTGTTCTTTAGTGTTTCCCCTGCCATTATATTAGGAGGGCAGCCCACCCCCCTTGAAGGTCAAGTTAATTTTATTTAATTATATTTTCTCTATAGCGCCAGATCACAACAGAAGTCATTTAAAGTTACCTTTTCGATAGAACAGGTCTATACCTTGTTCTTTTATTAAACAAACTAAACAGCCTTATGTTATTTATCTTATTTACACGACGGCATGTCATTTCGGTCTCTACGTTATGGTCGTGCTCTCTGTATCACGCACAGCGGAGTTCCGGGTCGATATGTAAATGAGATGTTGCGTCTGTGTTCTTTATTTTGCGCTGTTGTTAGTAAACACCCGCAGAAATTTCCTCTCCCATTGGCGCGGTTTTGGAATTGCGCTCTCGCGTTAATTTGCCCTGTTTAGTAAAACTGGCTCTAAGTTTTTAAATATCTGAATATTTGTATATATTCCATTTTCATTTTCATCCACGTTTTTTTTTTTTGGTGTCAACATGTATTTTATGTTTTAAAAATGTTCATTTGTATTTCAAAGAAATAGAAATTAGAGAAATGTTGCCGAGCTGAAATACGTTTTTCATTGAACATTTATTTAAAATGTAACAAAATGTTTTGTTTTTTAATGGTTAGTTATATGTAACATTGGCTAAAATTACATTGCGTGTAACCGGGACACTGTACATACCGCAAAAACTTCTTCTTTTTTGAGTTTTCCATCATAAACTCCTTTGAACGTCCTTTTTTTCCCTCCAGAATGATCCAGACATTCTCCTTCGTCTCGGCATCTTCTGAGTTGGCTGTTGTGATCTCAATTTCATATTCTGAAAAGACATTACAAAGAAACTTTTAATGCACAAAACAACTACACTGCTCGTGAGTTACACACGTAGGAAACGCTCTTCTCTTACTGGTCTTGTCACTGAGATCCAGAATATCGTTATTGGCACATGCCGACGCTTCCGGTGATATTAACGTCTGCAGTCTCACTAATGAGAACATAAACACATGAACAACACCTCCAGAACTGCTCTGAGAGTCACTGCATCAGCATTAATTTGAGTAAAACTATCCTCATATCATACACACACAGAAATGTAAAGGTATTCACGGCAACCCGTCAAAATAAAAGTTCGGTTTAACTTGAAGGCATTGCGGGAGAAATATATTACTGTTGTTCCGTAGAATGTATGTAATAGGCTGCTACTACTACTACTAAAATTATTAAAACCTTATTTGTAAGGAATAATCATACAATATTTCTTCAATGTTTTAATTGTAAAAACATTACAATTAAAGACATGCTAAACCAGAATTTGGTAACAATACAACATAAGGCTGGGAAAAATAAAACATTTCCTAATGAGATGTTGCGTCTGTTTTCTTTATTTTGCGCGGTTGTTAGTAAACATTTTCCCTCCCATTGACGCCGTTTTGGAATTGCGCTCTCGCGTTAATTTGCCCTGTTTAGTAAAACTGGCTCTAAGTTTTTAAATATCTGAATATTTGTATATATTCCATTTTCTTTTTCATTTTCGTCAACGTTTTTTTTTTTTTGGTGTCAACGTGTATTTTATGTTTTAAAAATTTTCATTTGTATTTCTAAGATATAGAAATTTGAGAAATGTTGCTAAGCTGAAATACGTTTTTCATTTAACATTTATTTAAAATGTAGCAAAATGTTTTTTTTTTAATGGTTAGTTATATGTAACATTGGCTAAAATTACATTGCGTGTAACCGGGACATTGTACATACCGCAAAAACTTCTTCTTTTTTGAGTTTTCCATCATAAACTCCTTTGAACGTCCTTTTTTTCCCTCCAGAATGATCCAGACATTCTCCTTCGTCTCGGCATCTTCAGAGTTGGCTGTTGTGATCTCAATTTCATATTCTGAAAAGACATTACAAAGAAACTTTTAATGCACAAAACAACTACACTGCTCGTGAGTTACACACGTAGGAAACGCTCTTCTCTTACTGGTCTTGTCACTGAGATCCAGAATATCGTTATTGGCACATGCCAGCTCCCTCATGATTTGCCCGTCGTCCTCACTTTTGGCCAGCCATCGGTCGCAGGGAAAGCGGAAGGTTTGATCCAGCAGGTCGTCCTTCACGTCGACATACTCCAGATGCCATCCAGGAGCCGGACCTGATCACAATGACATACAGTTTAGACACAATATTGTCAAAATGGACTATTTTGCTCTGTTTCAGCAACTATTGCACCACTGATCAACACAATGGTGTTTCGTTCCTGAATGATTCAGCATTTTTGAACAAAACGTCTGTAAATGATTCAACAAGCCAATCATAAAGACAGCTGCTGAATTCAAAACTGCATACTAGTGTACTACTCTTAGTATTTCAGCATATATTTCTATGGCAGAAATAGTAAGAACCAGCACATGGTTCAGAAATCAACACTTCATCACGTCATTCTTCAATGAATCAGCCGTTTTGAATGAATCAATCTTTGAATTAGTAAATCAATGTTTCCCTTATTTGGCGCTACCTAATATTCATATTTCAAGTATCATTTCATAGTTCTATATTCAATCTATGCTATACTTAAAACAATAATCTCATAAAATTATTTATGCAGTTGTACTGAAAAAAAATTGATTCATTGAATTTACTATACATTTAAATAAACTAATTTAGTTGACTATCTTTCAACATTTTTTTGAAAAAATGTGGCTAAGATAAATAGTTTGAAACCACATACCTTAAAAAAAATGTTGTATAATTTTTTCCAGTGTGCGACTGCAGTGTAAATGCATTCATGGCATCTCTGAACTGCATTAAACAGTGGTTTACAGGTAATAATGCTGTAAATAATGTTCAGTTTCTTGCACAGATTGATCGCTTCGCTTCATAAGACCTCAATATATCATCAGGAGCCACGGGTATTAATTTTGTGTTGCCTGATGTGTTTTTTTTTAATTCTCAAGGAGCACGGTTTCAGCTAAAAATCTTCTTTACTGTTCTACTGAAGAACAAAATTTGATGAATAATGCTGATCTGCTTAATAACCAGTTTACAAGTAAAATGATTTAAGATATTATGCCTTGTTTTCTGTAAAAAAATAAATACAAATTTTGCTAGTTTTTCCTTAAAACAAGCAAAAATATCTACCAATGGTGCAACAAAAATCAGGGCTCTACGCTTACTTCTCTTTTACTCTCTTACTATCAATAATCCAAAATTTTATCAAAAAGTTGCCTTCCCATTACGAGGTGATATTTGACTCCTCTAACTTTATTAGAAGTATGTTATCTTTTGTCAAATTCTTTAAAAAATGATATTTTATAAGCTTTTTAAAAATTGTAATTAAAACGACAGAATAAGAACAAGTAGAATAAGAAACATAGAAACATAAGTTACCAATCAAATGAAATCAGTATTAACAAAATTAATTTGTAGAGGTGGCACAGAAGAACACAAAAGTGGCTTGATGTACTTTCAGACATTTAATGAGGCTCCGAGGTGGCATGAGTGCAATTAAATCCATAAATTCATGATGATATTAATGTTTTAAATATACAATTTTGAATATAGAAATATTAAATGATTTAAATAACTGAAAAGATACTTTAAAAATGAAACTAAAACTGCCAGCAGGTGGCGACAAGTCACTGATTTTTATCACTGAATCATTCATTCAATTGATTCATTCGAACGGCTGATTCATTCAGGAAAGTGTCTTTATGAATGGGTGATCATGAATCACTGACTCACTAGATTAGTTTAAAAACCCCGTTCATTCATAAACGAAACACCGCTGTGTTTGAATGGAGATGCGCTGTGTCTTTGTTTTAAACTATTTTCGACGACGAAATAGAGCAAACTCAGACAATGTAAGTCACTTAATATTAACTTCTTGTCTATTGAATTGTTGTATTAAATCAGTATCACGTATACAAACTCCCTTAAAAATCATTAAAAGCTGTCACTCATGTTAGTTCATCGCGATCTCACATTTATAATCAACGAAGCTCTCTACACTGCGCGATGAATCTCTTAGTTACACCCCGTCTACACTTTGCTTATGAAAGTATTCGTGAGATATGTCTGTGATGCATTACTTAACTCTGCAAAACACGCAGAAACCGTTGAAGCTCCCCTAAATTTTCATAGTTGCACGCAGTAGTTTTCAGTCGCAAATGCGCACTTAGCCTTTGAATTAAGATTATTTTTCTTACCCCATTAGCAGATATTTTTGCTCCTTTTAAGCAAAAACGAACACAATTTTGATTATTTTTTTTTTGAAAACAAGACTTAATATCTTAAATCCTTTTACTCGTGCAGTAGATGCATCTTGATTCAAGAATGTTTAGATATTTATACTAGAACACAAGACACTAACACTAAGCAAGAGAATGATTTTTTGCAGTGATACTGGTTGCACCTACCAGCGCTGTCACTGGTTTTAACCTGGATGGTGTATGTGGTTTTCTCCACCATCTCCTCGTCGTCCACGACCGCAGAGAGTTCACAGACCTTGGTCCTCTTGGGTCCTTTGGTCTTGGAGAGCCACTCCTCGTAGGTGAACACATACACCTCCTCCGTGCTCAGGTTTCTCATGATTATCTGGGTCATGTGACAGGAACAAACAACATGTTTATAGTCATGCCCTTAATGAGTTTCATTCCTTATGTTGTGATTAACCTGATAACCTGATTAAAAGACTCACAGGTTTGAGTCCGAACGGAACGTGAGCCGCTCGAGGTTCATTAGAAGCTCTTATCTCAGACTGACCTTGTCGAGGAACCAATCAGGACGACTTCCCGTCCCGTCGATGCGAACGCGGAGCTTTTTCAGGGGCGCGATATCATCGATCTCCAGGTTAAACGTGTCTTCCTGTCCTCTTTCAAACCTACCACAAACCAGGGTTGTTAGTGTTAACAAGAAATAAATCCTTTAAAAAAAAACGTTTTTCGTTACTTAAAATAAAATACATTTGAACTGAAACAAACAAACAAAAAACTAGTTCAGCTAGTTCAATTTAACCTGATGCAATAAAATCATTAAGCTAAAATAAAAATTATTAAAACTATATATTTAGATTAAAAATGACAAAAACACACTTAAACTAAACTAAAACTAAAATTGAACATATATTTATAAAATCATTCAAACGAAACATAAAAGACAAAATGACAAAAGATAAACCATGAAATATATGTCCATTACTTGAAATAAAATAAATGTTGAGTAAAATAAAATAAAACTGTTTCAGCGAGTCGACAATGTAACATTTCTCGCTTTCATTTAGTTTAACTTGATGTACTAAAATAACTCAAACTAAAACTCATAAAAATGTCAGAAACACAACAACAAAATTACTAAAACGTTGACGTGAAAATGGAAACTAAAACTAATTTAAAATATAAAAAATCAAACTATAAAAATGTCATTACTTGAAATAAAATAAACATTATAAAAATGTAAACTACTTTTGTTACAATAAATAGCATAAACTTTGTGAAATAAAATATATATATTTTTAAAACTTACATGCATTTTATTTCAGCTAGTTGCCACGGCAACATTTCTCATTTTTGTTAAAAAATAACATTTTATACAGTATATATATATATATATATATATATATTAAATTCATAGCAATTTTTAGGTGTTTTTGTCATGTTTATTAATATATATATTAACAAACATGACAAAAACACCTCAAAATTGTTATGAATTTAACTTTAAAATTAAAATGGAAAATATGAATATAAAAATTATTTCAAAATATTAAAAAAAAGAAACTTAAAAAAACTGTAAAAAACTGTTACTTAAAATAAATGTTACCTGAAATAAACTTAAACTTATTTCAGCCAAGTCGACATTTCACATTTTCATTTTTACTTTAACTTGATGTACTAAATATATCTAAAACTAAATAAAATAGAAACTATATTGACATATTTTTAAAAATGTAATAAAAATAACAAAATTACAAAAACGTAACTACAGAAAATAAAATCTGATTCAAAATATGACCAAAAAGTGATGTGGATTCTGGTAAATAAGCACCTGTCCGCATGTTTGGCGAGGAGCATCTCCTCCATGCTCCCGTTGGCCCCAAACACGCTTATGAAGATGTTGGTGTCCGTTCCTGCATTCTGAGTGTCACCCGTGACCACCGTCACCTCATAAACCACCTGAACAACAGCCAGAATATGAGCCCTACCATCTACACACAGAGACCTTCAGATTCATCACACTTAAAGTGCCCCTATTATGGGTTATGAAAGGTTCATATTTTGGTTTTGGGAGTCCCCAACAACAGGTTGACATGCATGCAAGGTAGAGGTCTTCACGGGTCCACTTGGATCCGAAAACCCGAGGTCCGAGTCCAAAACTTCGACGAGTACCTCGGACATGGGTCGGGTTTGGTATTAGCGGCCTCGGGTCTCGGGTAATTTAAAATAAAAATGCTTTTCCCAAATGGACCCGATTAGACCCGAATTCTTTTAAACTATCCCGAATGCGTAGGTTACTTTCACTTTCGTGTTAAGAGAGGCACGCACACAGTGATTTATTTTTTAATCAAACTATCACGTTTACTTTTCAAATCCACTGGTCACAATTGAAAGCGGAGCTCAGAAATACCTTGTATCCATCAGGCAGGCGCTAATATAAACTAACCTAATAATAAATTGAATAAATGTTAAATAAATCAAAGTAATGGAGAGGTGGCCAAATCAGTCAACAGGACACCGGGATTTTTCCTGACTGACTGCGGGGCTGCAGGCTGTACACACGCCAATGCCGTTTACGTTCGGGTCCAGTCGGGTTCGAAAATAAATGCCCTTGGACTCGGGTCGTAATTTATGCACGTCGGGTTCGGGTAAGAAGTGATTCGGGTCGATTCGGGTCGGGTACAGATTTTAGGACCCGAGAAGACCTCTAATGTAAGGTCAAAAAACACTTTCATTGTCTTATAATATGCATTTATTTTTACTTTACTTGCTCAACGACTCCCAAAGGATTCACTCAATGATTAATTCTTCCAAACCCCTGCTTTGCGTGACGCTAATCTGCGGCGATTGGATCTCGCCTGTAATGCCTGATAAAGCAGCGTTTGTGAGCGCAGTGCTGCTTTGTGTAATTTCAGCTAGTTGCCACGGCAACATTTCTCATTTTTGTTAAAAAATAACATTTTATACAGTATATATATATATATATATATATATATTAAATTCATAGCAATTTTTAGGTGTTTTTGTCATGTTTATTAATATATATATTAACAAACATGACAAAAACACCTCAAAATTGTTATGAATTTAACTTTAAAATTAAAATGGAAAATATGAATATAAAAATTATTTCAAAATATAAAAAAAAAGAAACTTAAAAAAACTGTAAAAAACTGTTACTTAAAATAAATGTTACCTGAAATAAACTTAAACTTATTTCAGCCAAGTCGACATTTCACATTTTCATTTTTACTTTAACTTGATGTACTAAATATATCTAAAACTAAATAAAATAGAAACTATATTGACATATTTTTAAAAATGTAATAAAAATAACAAAATTACAAAAACGTAACTACAGAAAATAAAATCTGATTCAAAATATGACCAAAAAGTGATGTGGATTCTGGTAAATAAGCACCTGTCCGCATGTTTGGCGAGGAGCATCTCCTCCATGCTCCCGTTGGCCCCAAACACGCTTATGAAGATGTTGGTGTCCGTTCCTGCATTCTGAGTGTCACCCGTGACCACCGTCACCTCATAAACCACCTGAACAACAGCCAGAATATGAGCCCTACCATCTACACACAGAGACCTTCAGATTCATCACACTTAAAGTGCCCCTATTATGGGTTATGAAAGGTTCATATTTTGGTTTTGGGAGTCCCCAACAACAGGTTGACATGCATGCAAGGTAGAGGTCTTCACGGGTCCACTTGGATCCGAAAACCCGAGGTCCGAGTCCAAAACTTCGACGAGTACCTCGGACATGGGTCGGGTTTGGTATTAGCGGCCTCGGGTCTCGGGTAATTTAAAATAAAAATGCTTTTCCCAAATGGACCCGATTAGACCCGAATTCTTTTAAACTATCCCGAATGCGTAGGTTACTTTCACTTTCGTGTTAAGAGAGGCACGCACACAGTGATTTATTTTTTAATCAAACTATCACGTTTACTTTTCAAATCCACTGGTCACAATTGAAAGCGGAGCTCAGAAATACCTTGTATCCATCAGGCAGGCGCTAATATAAACTAACCTAATAATAAATTGAATAAATGTTAAATAAATCAAAGTAATGGAGAGGTGGCCAAATCAGTCAACAGGACACCGGGATTTTTCCTGACTGACTGCGGGGCTGCAGGCTGTACACACGCCAATGCCGTTTACGTTCGGGTCCAGTCGGGTTCGAAAATAAATGCCCTTGGACTCGGGTCGTAATTTATGCACGTCGGGTTCGGGTAAGAAGTGATTCGGGTCGATTCGGGTCGGGTACAGATTTTAGGACCCGAGAAGACCTCTAATGTAAGGTCAAAAAACACTTTCATTGTCTTATAATATGCATTTATTTTTACTTTACTTGCTCAACGACTCCCAAAGGATTCACTCAATGATTAATTCTTCCAAACCCCTGCTTTGCGTGACGCTAGTCTGCGGCGATTGGATCTCGCCTGTAATGCCTGATAAAGCAGCGTTTGTGAGCACAGTGCTGCTTTGTGTATAGCGTTGTTACCGGGGAAACCGCTATTTGTACTGCTCCAAAAGTGCCACCTAGTGGCAAAGAATGAATTTGCATTTTCATTCAGACCAACACGTGGGCGGGCAATATGCTAATGATTCATGATGACGTCAACATGTAACGGCTTGGGATTCGTTTTAAAAACGACTCGTTTCAATGATTCAGAGTCGACTCTTTGTTTTGAGAGACAATAACTTTATACACGGTGCACGTTCAGATTCAAAACTTTGCAGGATGTTTTCATTCACTGAGAGCTGTGTTACACACGACATGAAAGGACATTTTCAGAAATCCATAATAGGGGCACTTTAACAAGCGTCTGGACCTTCCGGATGATGCTGATGGTGGTGGCGTCCAGTATGTTTAGGACTCTGGCCGTCAGACCGTCTCCTCTGTCTTTGGCCAGCCAGCACTTGCACAGAAAGCTGTACTGAATGCCTTTGGTGGGAACGGCCACCGACAGCTCGTCCACCAGCCAGCAGCTCTCGGGAGTCGCTCCGTTATGACCCAACTGTGGACACAACATCAGCACTGGAGCGAGAATTCACTGACAATCAACTGCTGATACTGATGATCATTTGCACGTGTTTCTGCATCAGGTATAACATGCAAACACGGCTGTTCCTGACGCTCTTCTACATCGTTTGAAGAATTACTGCAGCCATGATCACTAGATAGTGTTCAAACATTACATTACTGTTCAAAGTTTTTTTTAAATGTATATATATATATATACAGTACATAGTTTTTGTAAATATTTTGAATTAGAATTTATTTTTATATTTTCACTTTTCACTTTAATTATACGTCTATATAGTTTTTATTAATTAGTATGTATTCTGTTGTTTTTTTTTTAAGTTTTATTTAGTATTTATTTAGTTTTAGTTGTTTTTGTACTTTGCACTTTTAGTTTTTTTAGTTATTTTTAGCATTTGAGAACTTTAAATAATCCTGGAATGTTTTTTATTAATTTTGATGTATTAGTTATTATTACTTATTTTAGTATTCGAAAATTCAGTTAATGTTTATTTTATTAAATTAACTTAAAACTTCTTTTTATTTTTTTTTTGGTTAACTATAATACCCTTAGAAAGGACGCATTAATGTTTTTAACGCATTCAGTTTCTAATGTTGCAAATGATTTCCATTTCAAAGAAATGCTGTTCTTTTGAACTTTCTATTCATCAAAGAATCCTGAATCTAAATCATTGGGCCCTATGATGATAACGTAAACCCGACTGGTGGTGCTGGCGTCATGATCGTCTCCGGTGGACACTGTGAAGTGGTACGGGATCACTGCCAAAGCACAGATGCTGAGCATTAAATGACCCATTTCTGTCTGTCTGAGACTTCAGAATGAATCACTGGAATAAAGCATCATCTTACTCGGACCCTCCTCCATTATAACAGCCTTTTTCTTCTTCTTCTTCTTGTTCATGTTGCTGTCAAGACCTGCTTTAGAGTTCTGCATGTTCTTCTTTGCGTTTTGAGGGTTCCTCTCACCCTCGTATCCCTAACAGAAAAACACGACATCGACACGATTTCATGAAGTTTCTATTAGGGCTAATGAAAAATTTCAATCTAACTAATTACATGAAGTGCCAATAACTTAATCGCAAATCAATTTAGGCAGAGAAATGACCCTCAAAAGATCATTTAAAGTCATTAATGTGGTAAATAAGAAAACACTGATTAGACACTACAGAAAATTTGATTTAGAAAGAAATAATTTGATTCAACATTTAATATTGATTTTATTTATTTTTTTATTTAATGATATTCTAAATATAAATCTAAAACAGCAGTAGGTCTAAATGTCTTAATGAGTTTAAAATAAATTCATTCATTCGTTCAACCGTTTCAATCAAACAGCTGATTCATTTAGAAATAAAAGAAATGCCTTGTCGAATGAATCACTGAATATTTGGCCCATTCGATTCGTTCAAAAGGCAGATTCGTTAAAAAATGAAGTGACAGACTGTCTTTAATCGCGAGCTTCATCTTTCAAAACACATCGCGATGGCGCCGACGCTGATGGCTGCCTCCGTGGCGTGCTCCGCAGTTGTTTTTATGTTTTTGTTAGTTTGTCCTGTCTTTAGTTATATCCCTGCAATCAGTTTCATCAGAGACGAATTGCTGGACATTCAGAAGTACACACCACCCGAAATTTCACTTGTTTTCGACTATTCGGATGTTTTGCTGGACATTGTAGTCGGGGGAGCTGCGGCGCTGATCAAGCGCTTCAGGATGCGCAGACGGGGGAAGCGAGCCGGCACACTTGTCAAGTTCAGGCAGCGCGGATTCAGAACACCGTTGCCTAGCATCCATCTGGCCAACCTCCGCTCTCTACCCAACAAAACGGACAAACTTCTTCTGCTCTCCTGGACAAGTAAGGATTTTTCTAACTCTGCTGCTCTGTGTTTCACGGAAACCTGGCTGAAAGACGCAATCCCGGACAGTGCGTTGAGTCTCCTGGGCTTTCAGCTGTTCAGAGCAGATCGCGACGCAGAATCAACAATCAAAAATTAAGTTTTGATATATTTACAGTAGGAAATTTACAAAATATCTTCATGGAACATGATCTTTACTTAATATCCTAATGATTTTTGACATAAAGGAAAACTCTATAATTTCGACCCATACAATGTATTGTTGGCTATTGCTACAAATATCCCCCAGCGACTTAACACTGCTTTTGTGCTGCAGGGATACATATTAGAGGGTGTTTTTTTGCACTCGTTTATTGAATTTTAGATTCATATAACTGCATTCTAATAGGCTCCATCACGCTGCATCATGTTCATCAGAAACTGGATGGGATGCTGTGTTAAATGCATTTTAACTCTTTATTTATTCCATAATTAACTGACAAGTTAAATCGACAGCCCTAGTTTTTATGAATGAGATTTCCATCACCTTGACAAAGAAGGTCCTCTCGATGCACTTGTCCTCTTTCTTAATGGAGAGCCAGCGTTCACACAGAAACATGTAAACCTCTTCTGTCTCCACATCCACCACCTCCACCTGATCCAGATACCAGTCAGCTCCAGCCAGAGAATTGTCATGCTGGATTTTGATCTTATAGACCTGACCCAGATCCACGGCTTCAATGCTGAACTTGTCAACCTGCACACAAACAGCTGCTGTGAATCCTGAAATGCTAACGTTGCTGCTTTCATTGTTGTGCTGATGATGCCCTGCTTTGTTTTTCCTCTAAATGAGGTTTGATGGTTAGTGGAGCGTCTGATAGACTTTATGGATGATAATATCTCCTTCTACATAAATGTTTTTTTCAGTGTCACAGTTCTAATAGCTATAAAACTGTTCTGAAGCTATTTTAAAAATGTAAAAATTTGTGCCTTTTAATTTTAAATTGAAACCACTATACAATAAACTGACTTTCCTTCTGCTAATTCAAATAAAAAGGGTATTATCAGGGTTATTAATAGGTAATTACTCGGTTTGGGCTTTTGCATCACTTAGCACTTTGTTAATGACAATAAAAAAAGATAAGAAGACAAGATATTATAATTTAGAAAATTTTGTCACTTGAAATAAAATTAACAATTTTTCATTTAATTTTCATAGTACTTGATGTAATGTAACTTGATGCAACAAAACAAAAAATAATAACACTTGAAATTAAAAAAAAAAAATATATATATATATATATATTAAAACAAAATATTAAAAGTAAAAAAATCTAAATATTACTAAAAAGTATAATACTCACTGATACTAAAATAACAAAACTATTGTATTATTCATCAAATCTAGAAATAAGATGCTTTTGTGCAACCTGTTTCTACATCAGTGATTCTTAACCAAGGGGTGTTAAGATGACTTAAAATTATTATAAAAAAGACAAAATCACATTAAAATAATCAACATAATTCTTATTTTAATTCACCCTCTCAACAAAATGTATTTTATTTTTTATTAAAAAAAAGTTTTTTTTTTTTTTGAGGATTCTGGATATTTTAAAAAAGCCTAAGTTTTCTTGACCTATAAGTTAGGGAAATTCATAAACTCATATAACTTCATGGGCATTTTTATAATGAACATGCATTTTTCTAGTTATTCCAGATGAAAAATGTAAATTTAAAAATGATGAAAATTGGAAATGTTGCATTGGCGACTAACTGAAATAAAATAAGTAGTGAAGTACTTAAAATAATATTAAATTAATTTAAAAATTTTGAATATTAAAATACTGAAGTACTAAAATTTAAATAAACTGACAACTAAACCTTAAATAAAAATAAATTAAAGCAAAATAATAATAAAAAAAAACGATATATCATTTAATTTACGATATATCCCATTAATAATTCACTGAATGCACTACGAATCTCTCGTTTTTCCTCAAATGCTCACGTCTCATTCCAGGTTTGTTTGTACACACATACACATTTTCTTTCACTTCTAATACCTACTTGCAGTGTTTACTAGGGCTGGGTAAAAAAAATTATTGATTTCTCGATTTTAATCGATTCTAATGATGATATCAATTCTTAAATCCCAAGAATCAATTAGTCTAGCCTGCTTCCAGTTAATAAACAGAATATTGTACAGTGCCTCCCATTCAATAAATCGCAATAAGCTTTGTGCTTTGTTACTTTTGATATGAACCAAAGTCTGAGATTTCAAATTCTTTTTCTTGACCTATAAGTTAGGGAAATTCATAAACTCATATAACTTCATGGGCATTTTTATAATGAACATGCATTTTTCTAGTTATTCCATGCTCTAAAATATAAACTAATAAGATAAATAATATTGTTAAAAATGTCTAGTAAATAAGGTAAATTCCTAATAAGAGCAGTATCCCTGAAGAACATGAATAATATTCATATTATTGTGAATAATATTGGACCTTGGAGTCAAAAAGGTTGCGAACTGCTGTTCTAGATGGTTTTACATCATCCTCTATAGCTGCCATATTTGCTTTGGCAAGGAAATGTCTTTCAAGAAAGATATAACAATAACTATGAGTATGTGCTTACGGCTCCTCTCTCAAACTTGTTGCCGTTGCTCTCAGATTTGCTGAGCTTGCGTTCTCCGGTGTCTCCCAGATCTCCGTAGATGGTCAGGAACACATTGGCATCGGTGCCGGCTCCGTGCATGTCCCCCGTCCTCACCGACACCTTATACGTGTGAGCTGCAGAAACATCAGCATGTGTGTTAATGATCAACAACAAGTGTGACGCACCACTGTAACCTTTCAAGAATATCCTAATATAAAGGAAAACACACCCCAACATGAATTCTAACATGCATTTTCAGCTGAAATTTGTTTATTTGAGTCAGTGTTGTTACTGTTAACTAAAACTATTCTTCACATTTATTATAAAGCACTGTCACAGTAAGAAACAGAAAAAATAACAGTGTCACTGTTGCGAAATTCATTAATTATGAAATAAATTAATTTCAGCTGTAAAATAGCTCAACAGAAGATAATACAGTCATTACTCAGTTCGTGTTTTGTTCTCATCCATTAGTGTTAGTGCATTAACTTGATAATATAACTGAATATTAATTGTATTTGAAACCTATTAAAAATTGTTTGTCAAGTGAAATCAAGCAGAAATAAAACATAAATATAAGATTTTGGTTTTGATTGCTTCTATTGTTATCATTTGTAAGTCGCTTTGCATAAAAGCATCTGCTAAATGACTAAATGTAAGATGAAAAATGTAAATTTAAAAATGATGAAAATTGGAAATGTTGCATTGGCGACTAACTGAAATAAAATAAGTAGTGAAGTACTTAAAATAATATTAAATTAATTTAAAATTTTGAATATTAAAATACTGAAGTACTAAAATTTAAATAAACTGACAACTAAACCTTAAATAAAAATAAATTAAAGCAAAATAATAATAAAAAAACGATATATCATTTAATTTACGATATATCCCATTAATAATTCACTGAATGCACTACGAATCTCTCGTTTTTCCTCAAATGCTCACGTCTCATTCCAGGTTTGTTTTTACACACATACACATGTTCTTTCACTTCTAATACCTACTTGCAGTGTTTACTAGGGCTGGGTAAAAAAAATTATTGATTTCTCGATTTTAATCGATTCTAATGATGATATCAATTCTTAAATCCCAAGAATCAATTAGTCTAGCCTGCTTCCAGTTAATAAACAGAATATTGTACAGCGCCTCCCATTCAATAAATCGCAATAAGCTTTGTACTTTGTTACTTTTGATATGAACCAAAGTCTGAGATTTCAAATTCTGTCCGTTTTATTGCAATATTCAAATAATAAATGCCGTTTAATGCGGAGTGACTGATTGTCTCCTCCGCTTTAATACAAGTTATAGCACAAAATAAACATGAATGAACATCCGAAGGTATGTTAAAAGAACGAGTACAACTTACCGAAACCCTTTATCCTGTCTCATGAAATCGCTCAATCAGTGTTTCAACCGCGCAAAGATGTCAATATAACAGCTTGTAAACAATGTCAAGTAACGTCACAATTAAATTACCTCAGAAAAAACATATTCTGTGATCATAAACTCGTTAGTCAGCAAGAGAAATTAACTCTAGAGAGGATAATTTTGCTAAATGTATGCACCAAACAGCATTTTTTTTCCTTGAGAAAATTTGCCATGTACTATACATGATGTAATAATCGATTTAGAATTTAATCGAATCGGAATCGAATCGCAAGCTTGTGAAGCATAATCGAATCAAATTGTGAAATCTGTGTTAAAACCCAGCCCTTCTAAAGCAATATCTGTTATCTGTCAAAATGATGGAATCTTTTGCTGATTGTTCACAGAAGTTATTCCTATAGCATCATGGGGCATAGGAAAAAGCTGGATATTTGTGTCTATTTGTGCTTTATAAATAAATAAATGGACTGAAATCCTAATACTGTACAGTACGACAGTCACGTACTCTCCAGAGCATCCTCCACCTCGATCTCGTTGTGTTTGAGCGTCCCGTCTCTCAGCAGCTTCTCCGTGATGATCTCCGAAGACACCACCTCTCTCACCGTCTCGCCGTCATCCTCAGACTTGGCCAGCCAGCGTTCACAGGGGAAGATGGTCGTCTCCGAACCCTGGAGAACATTCGGTTCACTCAGGGTTCCTACACGTTTTCCATTTTTAAAGTTCCATACTTTTCCAGACTCGAATTTCCAAACCTCTCAGTAGAATAACAGACCATGCTTAACATAAATGGTTCATACAGCATTATTTTCAGCTTTATATTTGGCATATGGTTATGGAAGGCATTATCATTATCTTATAAAAATTAAAACCAGATTAACAATTTCATTATAGAACACTATACACAAAATATTTTTAGTTTTCTATAATGAAATTGTTAATCTGGTTTTCATGTTCATTTTTATAGTTAAATTGATATGTGACCCTGGACCACAAAACCAGTCATAAGGGTCAATTTTTTTGAAATTGAGATTTATACATCATGTGAAAACTGAATGAAAACGCTTTGCATTGATGTATGGTTTGTTTGGATCGGACAATATTTGGCTGAGATACAACTATTTGAAAATCTGGAATCTGAGGGTGCAAAAAAATCTAAATATTGAGAAAAACATCTTTAAAGTTGTTCAAATGAAGTTCTTAGCAATGCATATTACTAATCAAACATTAAGTTTTGATATATTTACGATAGGAAATTTACAAAATATCTTCATGGAACATGATCTTTACTTAATATCCTAATGATTTTTGGCATAAAAGAGAAATGTATAATTGTGACACATACAATGTATTGTTGGCTATTGCTACAAATATCCCCCAGCGACTTAACACTGCTTTTGTGCTCCAGGGTAGGGTTGTGTCGGTGAGGAAATTTTCCCACCGGTTAATCGACGTGTGACAACACCGATAATACCGGTATCACCGGGGGGGCGGGGCGTTCCCTCTTTTCCTCGCTTTCCTTCGCTTTTAAATAGCTTGTAAAAGCGGCGTGTGCATTTGACTTCACTTTCAAATTAGCAGCAGTTTGGCGTCAATTGCTTGAATGCAACAACAAAATACAACGTCAAACTCACTTTAGCCTATATATAAAACATAGAACTAACAAAAATAAAAATACACCATGCTATAGGGCAGGCTATGCCTAATATAAAATAACAAATAACTTACATAAAGTTTAAATAGGCATACAAAACTGAAAATAGACTAAGTAAACATACTGTATATAATATATAACCCATTAAATAAGAAACGTAGAACGTTTATTAGCTAAATGAATAAGAAAGCTTGGAGGCACGGCATACACCTTGATGTCAAATAAAATAAATAAATGACACAAAGTTTAAATAAAGTAAGAATCAGCAAACAGTGTGGAATTAATTAAATAAGAAACGTTGGAGGCACGGCATACACCTTGATGTCAAATAAAATAAATAAATGACACAAAGTTTAAATAAAGTAAGAATCAGCAAACAGTGTGGAATTAATTAAATAAGAAACGAATGTTTAAAAAAATAAAAAAATCACCTTAGATAAACGGCAGAAGTCAACAGGCTTTTCAAAATGTCTGTCTTGCCTCACTCTTCTCATCTGTCTCGCCTCACTCTTCTCATCTGTCTCGCCTCGCTCTTCTCTTGAGTCTCGCCTCACTCTTCTCGTCTGTCTCGCCCCACTCTTCTCGTCTCTCGCCTCACTCGTCTCGTCTGTCTCGCCTCACTCTTCTTGTCTGTCTCGCCTCACTCTTCTTGTCTGTCTCGCCTCACTCTTCTTGTCTGTCTCGCCTCACTCTTCTTGTCTGTCTCGCCTCACTCTTCTTGTCTGTCTCGCCTCACTCTTCTTGTCTGTCTCGCCTCACTCTTCTTGTCTGTCTCGCCTCACTCTTCTTGTCTGTCTCGCCTCACTCTTCTTGTCTGTCTCGCCTCACTCTTCTTGTCTGTCTCGCCTCACTCTTCTTGTCTGTCTCGCCTCACTCTTCTTGTCTGTCTCGCCTCACTCTTCTTGTCTGTCTCGCCTCACTCTTCTTGTCTGTCTCGCCTCACTCTTCTTGTCTGTCTCGCCTCACTCTTCTTGTCTGTCTCGCCTCACTCTTCTTGTCTGTCTCGCCTCACTCTTCTTGTCTGTCTCGCCTCACTCTTCTTGTCTGTCTCGCCTCACTCTTCTTGTCTGTCTCGCCTCACTCTTCTTGTCTGTCTCGCCTCACTCTTCTTGTGTGTCTCACCTCACTTTTCTTGTCTGTCAGCTCGACTCACTCTCCTCACTGTAGAAATGAAATCTGTTCTGTGATGCAACTGTCGTTCGGCACGCTCCATTGAGCAGCCGCGTTCAGTTTTTAATTGTAGTGTCTGTTCTTTTACTGAACTAAATGATTTTTATTACTATAAAAAATCAAAACGATGGTGGGGGTCGGTGCCGCGGTGGGCAAGTGACGTAACCGGTGTTGCGGCTTAACACCGGTATCACCGTCTATCGCGGCAAGCCTAGTCCAGGGTCACATATTATCTGAACGCTGTTACCTTTCCTTTCCTCAAAAGTCTTCTGATTTCCACTCTGTCCAGATGCCAGCCGGGGTTCGTCCCTTGGTTATCGTGTCCGATGCGGATCTTCTCTATGACATCCCCTATGTCTTCCAGCTTGGCAGAGAAATGAAAGCACAGCGTTGACTGACAGAGAGCGCATCTGCGCTGTGTAACGACGACCGACTGATGCTCACCTCTACAATGAACATGTCTTCTGCTGATCTCTCGAAGTACATGCGTCGTTCTCTCTTGTTCACACACAGGTACTTCTGCTGCGTACACATACCCTTCTGACCGTACAGAACGATGAAAACATCCGCGTCTGTCCCTGCAGCGAACACGTCACTCGTGAAGGTGGTGATCTCATAGGGAACGACTACAGGAGAAAGACACAAACAATTATTCAAATCTATTTATAGAGATCGTTCACCCAAAGATAAAGCACACGCACACAAACCTCTCTGGCTGTTTTATATTCATATAAAGCTAAATGTGAGAACTTAAGAGCAGTTTCTTCATCTGTGATGTCATGCTGCACTCCAAACCAGGGTTATTATTACAGTTAACTAAAACTATAAAAAAACATTTCGGTAACACTTTATTTTAAGGTGTCCTTGTTACACATGTTACATGTACTTACTATTACTATTATAATTGCATGCAAGTAACCCTAAGCCAAAACCTAACCATATAGTATTATTACACAATACTTAAATGTATAATTACACTGTAACAAGGACACCTTAAAACAAAATAAATGTTAATTGAAATAAAAGTATACAAAAAAATTGTTTATTTAAATGCCAAGGCAACATTTCTCATTTTCATTTAGTTTAACTTGATGTATTAAGATAAATAAAACCAAAATAATTTGCAAAATATATTAAGATATAAAACAGAAATATAGAAACATATTTAAAAAAACTAATAATAAAAATGCACAAGAAAATGAAAAGAAATAAAAAAAAAGCAATATCTGATAAAATGACTAAAACCTGAACTAAAATTAAAATGAAAACGGCAAATAAAAACATACTAAAATAAATGCTAAAACAACGCTGATCCAAACAAAGATGTTTTCACGTTACACTTATACTGTTACAATACACTGCAAAAATGATTGTCTTATTTATCTTATTTAAGTGAATCTATGTTTAAAACAAGAAAAAAAAATCTGCCAATGGTGTCATAAAAATTCTTGTTTTTTCCTTTAAGTTTATTTTTCTGAACCCACTGGCAGTTATTCCACTTATTCTTTAAAGCATAAATTTGCTTAATTTTGATAATAAAAATGTTTTGATAAAAAAATGGAAAGACTTAATATTTTAAGTCATTTTGCTACTGACGTAAATGTATCTTGATTTAAGAATGTTTAGATATTTGTACAAGACAAGACAAAATAAAACGAATAAGAAAATCAGGACTTTGCCGTTTTCTGGGATCCTGTCTATTACTGTTCCGTAAGAAAAAATGTGTGTTCAATGAAAGCAAACAATAATAAAATAATCACTGCATGTCCTTTGGCTGTAAACAACACGGTTCACAGTCTCTTACACGGCGTGTAAAGTTCAGTCTGTAGCTCCGCTGGATACAGATCTCTGACAACAACTCCATCGTCTTCTCCTGTGTCCAGCCAGCGGCCACATGGGAAACGAAGCCTCTGTCCTTGAGAAGGAGCATTGATCTCCACCCAGTCCAGGAACCATCCAGCCGACCCTCCTGGAATAAGAAAATCAGGACTTTGCCTTTTTCTGGGATCCTGTCTATTACTGTTCCGTAAGAAAAAATGCCAAAGAGTGTTCAATGAAAGCAAACAATAATAAAATAATCACTGCATGTCCTTTGGCTGTAAACAACACGGTTCACAGTCTCTTACACGGCGTGTAAAGTTCAGTCTGTAGCTCCGCTGGATACAGATCTCTGACAACAACTCCATCGTCTTCTCCTGTGTCCAGCCAGCGGCCACATGGGAAACGAAGCCTCTGTCCTTGAGAAGGAGCATTGATCTCCACCCAGTCCAGGAACCATCCAGCCGACCCTCCTGCAAAACACAGACCCAATCATCTCCATTAATGCTCCTGCTAATACCGACGATTAAAGCTACAGTCCAGCTAGAGAGGGAACTATCCAATATGTCTATGCTATTGCTCAGACGTTGCTCTTTTATGGCTCAAGCTCTTGGGAATGATGGGTAATTTCTTACAGATGTTTCTCTTAAAATTCCTTAGGAGAAATAAAGACAAACCCAAATGAGCCAATAGCTGTGTTGTAGTAAGAGTATAAAGCTTTAACATTTAGAGGAGAGCAGCTCAGATCATTTGATGAGAAACACTTGAGTTTCTGTAAACTCAGACTGTCATCTAGATATACACTATATTGCCAAAAGTATTGGAACCCCACCTTTCTAATGAACAGGTTTGACTAATTTAGTCATTTACATGAGTATAAATGTTAAAGCATATTATGATATTCTAGGGAATTGTGTGCTTTTCATTTTATAGCAACAGTTTGGACAAGACCCTTTTCTATTCTAACATGACGATGGCTCTGTGTATAAGGCAAGGTTAAAAAGAAATGATTGACTGAGTTAGTGTGGAAGAACTTGACTAGTCTGGTGTGACTTTAAATGCAGACCCAGAGCCAAAAACTCATCAGCAAACACCAATGACTTGTACATATGGGTGCAGTCATTTTAGACACTTCCAAACTGTTGCAACAGAGATGGAAATACAAGTTTTAAATACATTAATTTATCTTTGTTACCACAGTTTTGGAAGTGCCTTTTTCTATTCGGGGTGTCCCAATACTTTTGTCCATATACTATATGTACAAGTCATTGATGTTTGCTGATGAGTTTTTGGCTCTAGGTCTCAAAGTTGCATAGACTAAAGTCTCAAATCCAAAGAGATATTCTTTATAAAAGTTAAGAGTCAGCCACACCTACCTAAAACTGTTCGTCCAAACACGCCCCCACATGTCTACCTCACTATGTGGGAAAATTTGCATAACGCCGCCCAAATGTTCATGCAAAGAAAGAAGGCGTAACTTTTATTCTCGCTGTAGTATTGTTGCTGCCACCATGTCGTGAAGACGCTGTGTGCTTCATTGTGAAAGCGAAACTACTTTGTTTGGTCTTCCAAAAGAGGATGATATCTGCTTTGTCATGCCTGGAGCTGATCCGTGCTGGTTGCTGAGGGAATACTTCAACTTCGTGCTGTGGATCGCCAGATCGGCTTTCACCGTGGACGAAGTGGAGTCCAGCCATCACAGTTGCCGCAGGCATCACAGTATGGTACGGGCGCAACATTTCCGTCACACGCTTGAGGTATTCGGCCAATCACAACGCACTGGATAGCTGGCCAATCAGAGCACACCTCGCTTTTTCAGACCGATGAGCTTTGTAAAAATCGACGCGTTTCAGAAAGGCGGGGCATAGAGGAGAAACAATAATGTACAGTATGTGGAAAATCATGTGTTTTTTGAACCTTAAACCGCATAAACACATTTCATTACACCAAATACACAAAATACTGTTCTTTTTAGCAGCATCATATGTCCCCTTTAAAGGGTTAGTTCACCCAAAAATTGAATTTCTGTCATTAATTACTCACCCTCATGTCGTTTCAAACCCGTAAGACCTTCGTTCGTCTTCGGAACACAAATTAAGATATTTCTGATGGAATCTGAGAGCTGTCTGACCCTCCCATAGACAGCAACGCAACTGAAATGTTTCCAGGTCCAGAAACGTAGCAAGGAGATCGTAATAATCCATGTGACATCAGGGGTTCAACCGCAATTATAGGAAGCTACGAGAATACTTTTTGTGCGCAAAAAAAAAAAAAAAAAACTTTATTCAACAATTCGTCTCCTCCGCATCCGAATACAAAAAGATTTCTTTTAGCTTCGTATAATTGCGGTTGAACCCCTGATGTCACATGGATTATTTTACAGCTCTCCTTGCTACGTTTCTGACCTGCAACATTTCAGTTGCATTGCTGTCTATGGGAGGGTCAGACAGCTCTCAGATTCCATCAGAAATATCTTAATTTGTGTTCCGAAGACAAACGAAGGTCTTACGGGTTTGAAACGACATGAGGGTGAGTAATAAATGACAGAATTTCCATTTTTGGGTAAACTAACCCTTTAATTATGAACAAACTGGCTTGTAGTGCAAACAGTTTTACTGTTTACTGCACTTTGTGATTCTTCTCGTTATTTCCCTACGGCAGCGAATGAACCGGAAATCTTGTACATTCACAGAAAACGGCTTACTTCCATGTTGAAGAATTCCCTAGAATATCATTATATGCTTTAACATTAAGATTTGTTCTAATGGAAATTACTTAAGTGGTCAAACCTGTTCATTAGAAGGGGGGGGTTCCAGTACTTTTGGCAATATAGCGTATCTGAGCACAGTTTCAGATAATACTGAGATCTTTCCTGTAACTCCAGATTGAGATCTGGGAGAAACATAAGCAATGTGTGATCTCAATTCAATCACTGCTGTCCAGGAATGTAAGAGGTTTATTTGTGATTTATTCCCAATGACTGGAGAATAACAGCTGCTATTAAGAGCGATGTGACTGGAGCGTTTCTGTACCATTGCCAAGCAACTTAATACCAGACAGGTTGCTAACTGTTTGCAAGAAGCTTTTAGAGGCAGTCGAGCGAATCCTGTCCAAACAAAGCCTGATTCAAACCCAGCTGTCACTCAGCGTGTGATCACATTCAGACGGGCTTTCGGTCACATTTAATGCTCACCTGAGTTGTCATGGCCAATTCTCAATTTCTGGAGTTCTCCGAGATCAACGGCCTCCACGATAAATTCATCGATCATTCCTTTCTCAAACTTGTTTTTGTGTGATTTAGAGGCTTTCAGGTTAATGAGTCCTGTTCAGTTCATGAGGATAGAGGGAAAGAAACCAAGAAAAGCTGCGAATAGTTAGCAGATAGTGTGAAGAACGCTCTATATTTATTCAAAGTGGTGATTGTGTGTATTTTCACCCGTGTCGTCATTCTCTCCATACAGAATCGCAAAGATATTGGCGTCTGTTCCAGCGTGTTTCTTTTCTCCAGTCTTGATCCTCAATGTGTATGTTGTCGACATTGCTACAAACAAAACAAAAAGAATAAGAAGAAAATAAATGAAATAATAATAAGTACTTGGACTGACAGACAAAACTGATCACATTTTATTAAATTTGCAATCGTTTGCTTTAGACTGAAATTAGAAGTAGATATGATTTCAATATAATTTCAGCAAAAATGTTCCAGTTACAAGGTGAATCGCTGGGGAATAAGATGTATTTTTTAATTAAAAATAACAACACAAATCATATTTTTAGATTATTCACATTTTATTAAAGATACCCATAAACCAGCTAGACAAAGTTCCCCCAACTTATCTAGTATATACTTCTGTGTCAACTATTTTCTTTTCAACAAGAGCACAAAGCAATAAAAATGAATGTGTATAGAGATCATTGGATTCTCGAGAGAATTTGCTGAGATGTTTTCAATTTGTAAATTTTTAAAAAAAATTTAATTTCAAGTTCATATTGAGCAACATTTAATAATTCAATCCTATGTCATATATTTTTAGATCTGCTTTTGACATAAAACTAATTTTATTTGCCCTTGACACTTTGTTCACCTTTCTGCTCTAAACCCAGTGTGGCCCCAGACTCCTCCTCATCCTCGTCCTTCCTCATGAAGGCCTCATCCACAGGAACGAGCTCTCGCGCAATCTGACCATCATCTTCATCAACCGCCAGCCAGCGGTTACAGGGGAAGTAATACCTGAGCGTAACCCAATATGAAGAGTTAGACGTGAGAAGCGTTCATTACGCTTCTGCGTTATGTGACAGTGTGTTTAGGCGCTTCCACACAATACACTCATTAATAAATCGACACATGCAGATCTTCATGTGATCCGTTTTCCTGAAGTGATATCTGTGTCTTTTAATGTAGCTGCTGGGTTATTCTGAGTATTCTAATTCTAGAGTGTTGCTATGCGGTTGCTGGGTTATTCTGAGTATTTTAGAGTGTTGCTATGCAGTTGCTGGGTTATTCTGAGTATTTTAGAGTGTTGCTATGCAGTTGCTGGGTTATTCTGAGTATTTTAGAGTGTTGCTATGCAGTTGCTGGGTTATTCTGAGTATTTTAGAGTGTTGCTATGCAGTTGCTGGGTTATTCTGAGTATTTTAGAGTGTTGCTATGCAGTTGCTGGGTTATTCTGAGTATTTTAGAGTGTTGCTATGCAGTTGCTGGGTTATTCTGAGTATTTTAGAGTGTTGCTATGCAGTTGCTGGGTTATTCTGAGTATTTTAGAGTGTTGCTATGCAGTTGCTGGGTTATTCTGAGTATTTTAGAGTGTTGCTATGCAGTTGCTGGGTTATTCTGAGTATTTTAGAGTGTTGCTATGCAGTTGCTGGGTTATTCTGAGTATTTTAGAGTGTTGCTATGCAGTTGCTGGGTTATTCTGAGTATTTTAGAGTGTTGCTATGCAGTTGCTGGGTTATTCTGAGTATTTTAGAGTGTTGCTATGCAGTTGCTGGGTTATTCTGAGTATTTTAGAGTGTTGCTATGCAGTTGCTGGGTTATTCTGAGTATTTTAGAGTGTTGCTATGCAGTTGCTGGGTTATTCTGAGTATTTTAGAGTGTTGCTATGCAGTTGCTGGGTTATTCTGAGTATTTTAGAGTGTTGCTATGCAGTTGCTGGGTTATTCTGAGTATTTTAGAGTGTTGCTATGCAGTTGCTGGGTTATTCTGAGTATTTTAGAGTGTTGCTATGCAGTTGCTGGGTTATTCTGAGTATTTTAGAGTGTTGCTATGCAGTTGCTGGGTTATTCTGAGTATTTTAGAGTGTTGCTATGCAGTTGCTGGGTTATTCTGAGTATTTTAGAGTGTTGCTATGCAGTTGCTGGGTTATTCTGAGTATTTTAGAGTGTTGCTATGCAGTTGCTGGGTTATTCTGAGTATTTTAGAGTGTTGCTATGCAGTTGCTGGGTTATTCTGAGTATTTTAGAGTGTTGCTATGCA